CCTTCCAAACAAGCTGTGCTTGTTCAGTCTTTTTCTAAATGAACATTAACTGTAACATTTAATTTGCTAGCTGAGGCCTGCTGAGTCTGAGATGTAGCTCTCAGGGATTTTTATCCAGCTTCTCCCAGCATTTAACCATCTGACCTTGGGGTGAATTCGCTGGGACGTCCACTCCTGGGAAGATCAGCAGCTGTCCTGAATGTTTTCCCACTTTTGAGTCAACTTCAAATTGTTTGGAAACCCAGACTGATGGGCAGCAGCAGTTGCTCCTCTGAGATCATCGCTGGTGTTAACACACACGTGAATGCTCCAGACAAGCAAACCTCTGCTTGCATAGAGGTGCTCAGCTCACACTCAGGAATATTAAAGCTGGTTTATAAAAGAAAAAGTTAGAGCATAATGTAAGGCACTGCAAGTGTAACAGCACCGATATTTAGTAAATGAACCTCTTTGTTTTTGTGTGAGCTATATTTATACTTGCCTTTCTAATATGGACTTTATTCAATTGAATTTAACCAGATGCATAGCTTTATTTTCAGCTTTGAATGCATTTAATCCAGACAGTAATGTCTGCAGCTGCTTGTTTCTCTCCACAGTCTATATCAATCTTTAAGAGCTGTTATGGTTGTGGATATTACACCTTTTTAATCAGTAATATGACACGAAACAGTATCTGTAAAAATATATATATATATTTGCGCACAGCTCACTCATTTAATTCCTCTTCTCTTTGTTTTCTCTCTGACTTCTCAGCTCACCAACCATGTTTAAACATTAAAAAAATACTAAATGATGATAACCAACAGCTGCATCCCTGAACTGTTTTTTGTTTGTGTCTTTTGGACTACAGAAGCACTTCAATCCTGCAAAGGGGAGGTTGGTGGTTTGCGGTCACGGGACGCTGGAGGGCGACGGTGTTTTCTGCATCCTGAGCGACGACCACGGACAAACCTGGTACAACGGTGCGGCGCTGAAAAGCATCCCCTACAACCAGAAGAAGAAAGCGCAAGACTTCAACCCTGATGAGTGCCAGGTATGTTTGCTGGTGCTGTCAGTCAGTTAGAGTTTACAGTTAGAGCCAGTAGTATTTGAACAGTTACACAGTTTTTTGTCATTTCCACAATTAAATTAACTTTATTGTCGACATTAGCGGAAAATTGTCTTTGGTTCACCATGCTGCAGATCAAGTCATAATCAATCCATAATAAAAATACTGGTAATTATTCATACAATAATAACTACACACATTCATACAAATGATCCCATGCACACTTTTTTTCTACCTAGTGGCATCAGAATAAAGAGGACGTTCTCAGACAGCAACAACAGAACGGGTGTTTTTAAGACGCCAGTGTGATACAGATTATCTAATGAGGTTTATTGTCAACCAACAGCAGTTCTGACAATGCTGCCCAGTTTGTTTCTATCTGCCACACTCAGGTTACCATCCCAGATGGAGATATTGAAGCTGACATACACCAAAAAATAAAAATGTTTTTGTTGACTCCAAAACTTTTTAACTTCCTAATAAAAAAGAAATCTCTGACTAGCTTTCTTGTTGATGACATCAATATTTTCCATAAATCATACTTCCCATAAATCTTGTCATCTTGTCCTCAATAACGTTTTCTCAGATGCTTGAAGCTTTTACTGACTTAAACAGACTGACCAGAAAGTGAAAAACCTATTTTTTGAGCCTGTGTAATTCAAGGCGTTTCCCTTTGTCAGCATTAGTCAGCAAATAACAAGATTTACATCAATCCTCAAATATACATACCTGAGCAAAATAATCAGACTTAAAATTCCCATTAAAGAAACCAACAAACAGCCATAACATCAGCAAATGTTAAACATTTTCACATTCCCTATCCTGTATTTGCATATCATTTATATAAACATAACAGTGGTGATCAAACATCATTCAGCTTTAGATTACTCTGTTTGTATTCTTAGTAGATTGAAACTCGCTATGCAACGGCTGTGAGTCATCAAGTGAAGTTAACTAGCCAACCGCTTTAACTGCCTGACATACAGAGAAGCTGGGTTCAGCTGTGGCTCACCAGTCAGCCTGTAATTTAACATTGTGCCTGAGTAAGCTTCTGGGTTTTTTTACACATAAATATCCAGACCACCACGGAAAAGGACAAAACAGACTTGGTGAAAGCAGGATAAAGTCATTGTGGTTTTGTGGAAGTAAGAACGTTTCCTCAAGCAGGACAGTTGCTGGTGCCTTCTGTGCTCACAGCTTCACAGTTTGTTTGCCTCAAAGTTCAGTTCTGAATCAATAATTGTTCCAAGATGTTTATCAGACTCAAGACGTTACACCACCTGGCCCTTTATAGCTGTGACCTGTTGTGTGTGTGAGCACATTTCCTAAAATCAGACCAATCAATGATTAACATCTTTTGACATTTTTTAACTGAAGAGAGGACTCAACGTGCCATTTAACAGAATCATGAGGCTGGCCTCCTGCAGCTGACTAACAATAACAGAGTCATCTGCATACTTTAGCACAGTGCTGTTTTCATACCTACTCTAGCACATGTTTGTGTACAGGTCAGCAGGTCAGGTCAGAAGGCCACATGCTTTTACTCGTTCCAAAGACTCTTGGAAAATTGCAAACACTGAGCTTTCTCAGCTCCAGAATTGTGGAAGGATTTATCATTGCACATCAGGTGATCTCCTTCACTTACTTGCTTTATAAATAAAGTGGTACAGGATAAATAATACCAGAGTTTCACTACACTACTACAATGGATTTAAAAGTGCAGACTTTCAGCTTAATTCACGATTACAAAACGATTAACTGTTCATAAATTATGGCCCTTTTTATGCATGGTCCCCCATTTCAGACGCTCAAACACGATAGGAAAAATTAACATAAGGATTGTTTTTAATGCTTTTAATAACGACTCCTTGAAGTCAAGGACATAACTGAATGTTGCATTTCCTCCTTTAATATGCTCTGTCAGGCATTTACTGCAGATGGTTTCCTTCTTTGCAGCTTGTTTGAGGCTCTTTCTACATTCACTTTTGTATTTAATAACTGAAACACGTGCTGTGTTGGGTTGGATCAGGTGACTCGCTTGTCCTATGAGGAATATCCAGTTTCTTGTGAAATTCTTGAGTGTCGTTTGCAGTTTGCTTCTGTCAGCAGTCACATCATCAATAAACACTGGTGACTCTGTTTCATTGGCAGCCGTAAATTTCCATGTCATAACATTGTTTCCATCATGTTTGACACATGATGTGGTTTGCTTTGGATCATGAACAGTTCCTTTCTTTCTCCATTCTGTATCTTCCCATCATTCTGGTATCAGTTAAACTTGGTTTAATTTCTTCAACCAATATATTCCAAACCTGTGGAGGCTTTATTAGTTGTTTTTATGGAAAAGTATAATTTGGTTTTCTTGTTCTTGAGTGTAACTAATGATTTGAATCTTCTGATAGAGCTACATTAAATAGCCACTTCTCTCTTGTTTTTCTTTTTGTCTTTGGAAATGTTTATGTGGAGTTTTAAAATGACTTTGTTTTGCTTGCACTACAGAAAATTATCCAGTGGTTCTTGGGGAAAAGTCACACTTGTAGCAGCAAAAAGAAAGTTTGGTGGTTATTAAGTTAAAGGGGAGTTAGCATTAGTTTATTTAGTGACATTACGAGGAAGCGTGAATGCTCATAGTGCACTGTTGTGAAGTGTGATTCTGCCCTCTAGTGGACAGAAAGTTGTTGTTTTTGTCTTTAACTTCAGTGTAGATTCTCCCATTTATTTTATTCAGTGCAGTTATATGAAGGCATCTGTATTACAATCGTAATTATAATCTTTCACCTTTAATACACTTTTCTCCGTCTGTCCTTCTGCAGCCAATTGAGTTGACTGACGGGACCATCGCCATCAACGTCCGGAACCAGAACAACTACCACTGCCGGTGCCGCATTGTGGTGCACAGCTATGATGGAGGGTTGACCCTGCCCTTAGAAGGCCTGATTTTTGACGAGGCACTGGTGGATCCTGTAGTGGCAGCCGGAGCTCTGCAAAAAGAGGGCGTAATCTACTTCACCAACCCCTCCAATGAGCAAAAGAGTAAGAAACACGAGCACTAAGCTTTTTCATCTCTGTGTAAGACTAGCAAAAAGTTAGTTTTGTGTATTAAGAATGTTACTCTTTATGTATTCTGTATGCCATTGTAGTGAGAAATGCTAATATGAAACATGGTGATCTCTGCTCCTGTTTCTACTCTTGGCTCATATCAGTTGAATTAGTTATAATTATTAAATATTCATGTTCTGTTACAACAAAACTGTCCACCCAGTTAGTTCCTGAGTAAATTTAGTATTTACTAATAAATTTAATTTAATATTTGGTTACTTTGGCCACTTTTAGTGTTTTCCTTTACGGCACAATAACTACTTTATATTCTTATGGAATCCAATGATAATTAAGTTTATTTCAGCTCCCCTAACTTATCTGGTTTGTTTTTACTGTAGCTCTATAAATCATGGCAACTTTCCACTTTTTTATGAACTGTATTCACATATGAGCTAAAGTACAAGCTCAGTAAAGCTTCATAAAAAAGTGACTTTCACCTTATTTCGGTTTCAATTTGAACTGATAGTAAACACAGAAATCTGATGCTACGTAGTGATCCATGCACGCCAGTTTGAGGCAAACTTTCTGGCAGAAAATGATACCATGATGCAATGCTGTAATCAGATAGATTGACCTTGTTTCCCTGAATCTTTGCAGTACAGGTGGAAACTGCTTAACCAGCACAAAACATAGAGTCTCACTGATGAGAAAAAATCCAGGTTGAAATGATCCTGATTAAGTTGAGTGGATAAATAAGTGATGCTTTATCTCCTTCAGGAGTGAATCTAACCCTGAAATGGTCGCTGACAAACGGCACGTCTTGGGAGAACAAAGCTGTCCAGATATGGGCAGGTCCGAGCGGCTACTCCAGTATGACATCACTGGACAGCGGCTCTGTAGAAGACCGCAAGTACATCTTTGTCATCTACGAG